AGCATTCAAAGTTCCACAGGAGCCAATGACATGATAGGAAAACATAACCAAACTATCAGAGGATGAGTATAAAATATTTCAAGTGTTAAAAGGTTTAGGAAAGTTTAGTCTTGAGTGAAAGAAGACAGGTGCACACTTGGTAAGTTATTTATAAGAACACTGTCACAAGAAGATAGAAGAAAAATCCCTTTCTGCTGCCAGTAGGGAAGTGAAAAAGTAGTCATTTTAAAATACAGAGAATTTTTTTTAAACAAGACCAACCCTTATGTGAAACTGGCTTATCAGAGGCCAGTTTAATGGGGTTTTACTAGAACCTAACCAATGGAAATATCCAAAGACAAGCATATTATCTTACCTTCACATAATCTTGTCTTTGTATCTCTCCTGAGGAAGGAAAGACATAAGAGAAAACTAAGAAACATTATGTTAGTAACAGTCTAGAAGCTCAATAAAATTGAAGACCTAATCATAACACTATCAAAACCACCTCTCTGCCCCCTCCAGAAAAGAGAAGCTAGAATTGGCTAGAATTATAGGCATGAACCACTGGCACCCAGTAAAAGTCAAATAATTTTAATAGTACAGTAAACTGTTGCTATCTGTGGGTATATGGTTCCAAAGAAACTGCCATTGAGAAAATAATACAAATACCCAGAGTGCATGCAGTTCAGTACTAAATTAAGAATGATTGATTCATTTTTCCTTAATGCCACCCAACTTTCACTAAAAAGACATCAACAAGCCTAAAATTTTCACTTCTTATCTTTAATTAAGAAATTATATTATCTCTCTGGCTTGGAAGGATTTCCATAACTTTACCTTACTTTGGAGCATTATTTGCTATTCAGGAGACATATTTATTATTTTTTTAGTTATCCTTAAGCAGTTGTAAAACTAAAGGGCATCAATTATGAGTATAAGATATTTTAATAAATATCGCCCTTTCCATCATTCTTTCTTATCTCTCCTAACCCCACCCACATCCTCCAAGATAGCTGGTTCCACTTTCACATATGTATATTGAGTATTGTAACTGCATTCACCTACCCTTCCCCTCTCCCTTCACCAGCCCTACCATATCTTGATCTCTCTACCTTCTCAACAACACATGTTCAACTTCTTGGTATATAAATTAATTTTTCGAAGAGTTATACTACTGCACTTGAAGGAGGCATATTTTTATAAAATTAAGGATACAAGAACACTCAGTAGGAAATATAGTGATTCATACATAACTGATGATAATCTAAGTTTAAGGATTTCTCTACATCAATTGAACTGTGTAATGTAAATATAGGAATTTGGAATTTGCATTTTTTAAATTTCTTTTATTTTCTTGATAGCACTTGTTCAAAAGCACATTATAAATCTATGACTAACTCAGGCTTGCTGTATGTGTAATGGTTAATCCTGATTGTCAACTTTATTGTACTAATAATCTTCTAGAAGATGTATAAAGAAATCTGGGTCTGTCCATAAAAGTGTTTTTAGAGAGAATCAACTAAGGAGAGGAAGCTATCCTAAACATAGGCAGCACCACCCCATAGGCTAGAAGTGTAGATGGAATAAAAAAAAGAAATAAGAAAAAAAACACTCTAAATAACTCTGCTTCCTGGTTACCATGAGGAGATCTACTCTTCTCATTTATGCCCACCCTATTGTGAGGGAATCTCTGAAAGTTCCTTAAGTTGTTTCCATCAGGTATTGATATGTGAAGTGGTGAAGTCACCACTGCTGACTACCTGAAGCAACATGTAGTATGGTTCAGAAACTTTTGGAACTGGTTTGGGGAGAAGTTCTAAAAGTTTAGAGATACAGACTGAAGAAGCCTTAGAACACTGTGGAAGAGTCTCATGGGAGCTCATAAGGTCAGAATGTTAAGTAATATAGTAAAGACTATGCTTATGAGGGTTCAGATATAAATGAGGGCTAATTTGAGAATATGACCAGAAGGTATTTGTGTTACATTCTAACAAAGATACCCTTTGTCCATGTCCTGATATTTTGTGGGAGGATGAGTTTAAAGGAGACAAAGCAATTTGGTAGAAGAAATTTCAAGCTCTTTATTCTAGTTGAATCTCATCTATTGCTAACAACTTTTAGTAAGGGTTATCGTGATAATTCTGATCAAAAAGCAAAGCAAGACAATTTGGAAATTTCTAATGTACATAGAAAATGAACACCTCTAAAGTTGAGAAAAGTATAGCTTTTGAAGCAATTTTAACTGTTCAAAGTCAGCCTAATACAGACTATAGGTATGCCTCAAGTATTATGAAATGAATGAAAAACTTGAGCAAAGGGTGTTCAGGGTCACATCTGTAACACTAGCTACTTGGGAAGCTGAGAACTGAGGATCAAGATTTGAAGCCAGATGGGGCAGGGAAGTCTGTAAGACTTGTCTCCAAATAACCACCAGGAAGCAGAAGTAGAGCTACTGCTCAAGTGGTAGAGCTATACTGGCTTTGAGGCAGTGCCCAGGCCCTGAGTTCAAGCCCCAGAACACACACACACACACACATACACACACACACACACACACACACACACACACACTGAAGCAAAACTGTACAACCTCGAATTCAAGCCCAGTAGAAGGAAGGAGGGAGGAAGGGAGGAAGTGAAGGGAGAGAGTAAGAAGGAGGAAAGGAGGAAGGGAAGATGGGAGGGAGGAAAGAGGCAACGGGAGAGAAAGGAAAGAAGGCAGGCAGGCGGGCGGGAGGGAAGGAAGGAAGGAAGGAGGAAGGAAGGAAGGAAGGAAGGAAGGAGGGAAGGAGGGAAGGAGGGAAGGAGGGAGGGAGGGAGGGAGGGAGGGAGGGAGGGAGGGAGGGAGGGAGGGAGGGAAGGAGAGAAGGGGGGAAGGAGAGAAGGGGGGAAGGAAAGAGGGAGGGGCCAAAAACTGCACTACAACAAGGAAATATACATTTCCTTGACATCCCAAATGACACCCATTTTGCAGAGATACAGAATGAGAGTTACAGGGTCACTGAGGCTTCCACCATATTTTGAAGATAGTCCAGAGAGGCTAGACAACATTCATGTCAGGAAGCCCCTGAAGGGGCAAGGCAGGAAGCTATGAAAGTGAAGACAAAATGTAATGGAGACAAAGAAGCTTACAATATGCAAGAAATGTGAAACATCTGCCAAAATATACTGTAGACAGTGGGCAGAACTGGCCTAAGAGAGATCCTGTAGGCTTCAACCAACCAGGACTGCCCAAGTCCTTGGGGCATAGATGCTAGATATGGAGCTATGGGATTAATCTGCCTTCCTGAGTACTGTTTTTGCTTTGGTGCCATCCCAGTTTCTATGCCACCATAGGGAACAGAAATATTTATTCTGTGCCATTGTTGACCTGAATTATTTAATTTTCCTTTTGATTTTAATAGGCACTCAATTAATCGTGAATTCCAGCAGACAGTTAAAACTTACACTTTTAAGCAATTCTAGAACTATGAAGACTATGGAGACTCTTGGAGATAAACTAAATACATTTTTCTTTATGAGACAGAAGTGAACCTTTTGGAGTTGAACTGGAATGTTATGGTTTGAATATGAAATGTCTCCCATAGACTCATGTGGTGGAATGTTATGGTCTAAGAAGATGTATATTTGGGTGTCAAAGTATACAAGGGTGGAATTGTGATGGTTATTTTTGATTAGCCATCTTGATTCACTTCACATACATACCCAGGAAGAAGGGAGGGAATAAAATAAGAAGGGAGGGAAGGAGAAAAAGAAGAAAGGAGGAAGAGTAGGAAAATGGGAGGGGTATGAATGTGAAGTGGCGTATTTCCAAAACGGATAAGGTAAAGGAAATCTGCCCTAAATATGAACAGCACTATCCAATAGGTTGGGGTCCCAAATGGAATGAAAGGGAAAAGGAGAAAATATGCTAGCCCCTGCATTCTCTTTGTGCTTCCTGGCCACCTCTGCTATACCACAATCACTACCATAATAGACTAAAATCTCTGAAACGTGAACAAAAATAAATCTTCCCACCATAAAGTTGCTTTGTCAAGTACTTTGTCACAGTGATAAGAATGTTAACAATGTATGATATTGTTTCTATGGAAAAGAGAAGAACATTTACAAAAGCAGTACAAAGTTAACATCAGAGCATTACAAAGAATGCCAAAACTATTCTAGTAACAATTATGGTTTTGTTTTAGATAAAAATACAATCTTGGGGTAAGTGCAAATTTCAAATCTATGTGTCATACTGAAATCTATATTACACTTCAAAAACAATTTAGAAAGATGAAGGCAATAGAAAACCACTGAATCTCTTATCTAAATTAATTATCATTTTTATCCTATAATAAAACAATTTAAACAATTTCTAGAACAATAACCACCTCTATATCAAAGTTTTTACAATTCTTTGATTAGAAAACACAATCAAAAGTTAAAAAAGCATAACTGCTGTAAGACTACAGAACCTCCATTTAAAAGAAAAAAATTTTTACTACTGTTTTTGAAATGTTTAAATTTTGGAAATGTTTCCTGGAAGCCCTGGCCACACACACCATTGCAATAATAATGTACTGATTATAAATTACATACAAATTACATATACGTAAAATTGTGTATTATTGTATAATTTCCAGATTATATGCAAAAGACAGAATTAGAATAATGCATACATGCAAGTTTCAAAAAGATAACAGAGTCATCCCATTTTGCTGATTTTTGCTATAACTGGACTCATGAACATACATAAATTTCAGAACTGACAACTGCTCATAAGAAAAACTACAATAAAAATATAAATAATAAATACTATTAAAAATTTCAACATTACCTTAACAGTTTGAATGAATAAATATTACTGTAGAAAACAAATATGCTATAATCAAAGTATAATAACAATTAGATTTTAATGATCTCAAAACAGTGATTTTATAACAATTTTTATATTATTGTGAAAAAATTTCAAATAACTTTTAATGACCTATCGCCTGAAACAAACATGCTAATTTTTAATAATTTTGAACACCAACCTGTTCCATTTCCTGTATTTTAGAATCCTTGACTTGTAGAATTTCTAGAACTTTTCTGTCTTTGGCTTCAGATTTCTGTTTTTCTCTAAAATGAAAAAATGTATGTTGAGAGTTTATTATTTATAATTGCTATCTATTCCTTTTTTCCCTTAATACTAAACATCAAACCCAAGGATTCATGCATACTATACCACTTTAACACTGTCCCAGTACGTATCTCATCTTTTAAATGTTCATATCCTGATCGTAAATGTAGCTTCAACATACACAAAGTTAAACTATCTTGGATTGACATTCCTTTCAGAATTCACAAAGCTTGTGGCAAGTGACAGCAACTTATCACTGCTGACCATGAAGACAACTTCATACTAAAAGAACAGTTCATTTCTAGACTTAGCTATATAAAAAAGTCAACTCAACTTTTATTATAAGGACCATAAAGTCATCACTTTAAAGTAATGAATAAATAAGTAAATATGTTCCTGTTAATATATTTTATGCATACACAAAAAGATAAAATACTATCATTTTTAAGTCTTAAAAAAGAGAGGTCCAGAGATTGATTCATAAGCAGTATTCTATGACTACAAATTTTGAATTTCTGACATTTGTCTATGTATTTCTAGTCTCTAAGAATACTACTAACTAAATTGTAGTTTTAAAATCAAAGCATAGTTCTCTAAAAAAAAAAAAGAAAATCCCAACAAATATAAATAACTATTACCTTCTAAAAATAAATATATCTTTGAATAGGAAAAGGAAGAGAAGAAAAAGAAACAAAGAAAGGCCTGAAGAGGTAATACAATCTGGCTTCCACTCATTAATTTACCTCATAACTGGGGAAATTTTACTGGACCGTTTTTAAAAACTTGAAAAATAGGTAAAACAAAAAGAAAGTGGTGGAAAAAATTCTCCCATGTATCACAGATTGTACAGGTAAAGAAAAAATACACTCAAAAAATAAAGCAAAAGTGATATACAGCAAATCCCTTAGAAGGCACAAAGAGATAGCAGAAGGGACATCAATCACGAAAATATACCATATGAGTTACAAGGTCAGAGGTAATAACAGTTTATAGAAGTACTTAAATTAGGCTTCTAATTACCATTAATTCACATTTGAAGTTCCCTTACTTCTCTAAATGTATACTAGTAGAAAAAAAGCAAAAGAATTGAAGACAAAGTTATCTTGCGTATGAATACCTTGAGGATCACAAACTAGGCAGAAATACAAAGCTAGAATTAGAGATGAAGATGCTATTTGCTGTCCTTCAGGTTCTGATGTTAGCTGAAGTGGGAAGGAGCTGGGCTTTGGAGACAAATGCTTTGGTCATGTAGAACACAGGCTATACTTTGAAATACAGACTAGGATGAGGCTCCTGAAATTCATGAGAAGAAGCTGGAAAAAGCTTCTGCCTAGCTTTGCTGACAAGTAAGGTTTATATGAAAGTCTAAAATTGCAAGTGTTTATATGCATAGCATCTGAAACAGAAATTGGATCAAAACACCCCTCAGCTGGAGCACTGACTGAATACAACAGAATCCCCATGTTACTTTTGGTAAAGATCCCAAAGTTACCAATATAAAATCTATCTCAGAAAGGCAGATTGAGTTGAAGTTGACAATTCAGTGACAACCATCAAATTTCTACAGATAAAATGGTATTAGAAAAAGAGGAGGAGAGGAAAGGAATAGCAGTCACAGCAACCCTCTCTCTCAAGATGTAACAAAAAAATCCAAAACACATGAACCTACACATACCAATACATTAGTTCAATGAAGATACAATTACGTAGACAAAACAAAAACAACTGAAACACGCACAAACACACACACACTAAAGGCCCTTTAACCACAAGACAACTGGAAGTGGCACTGTGGCTCAAAGTGATAGAGTGTCAGCACTGAGCTAAAGAGACCATAGCCAGGCCTTAGTTCAAACTCCACAAGCGACAAAAATAATCATCATCATCATCATCATCACATTTGAACCATGTAAGTTTGTTTCATTAAGAAACTATAATATACCCTAAAACATACCAAATATAGCAATAGTAAAATAAAAGATAAAGCAATTATTTTAAGAGGTCATTGATGAAAATGCTTTAAAATTAAATAATCATCAGATTGAAAATTAACCAGAATAATAGAAACTCACACCTATATTAATCCATAATTCATTCAACAAGTATTTATCAAGAACTTATCACACAGGTATTGGCCTAGGGGCTAGAGATACTGAAGTGAAATATGAACAAAATGAATCAAATGGCTACTTTCATGGAAGGCTACTAACTTTTATTCTAACATTTCAGTATAGAGATATTATAAAAGCTGTCTAAGTCAATGCAATATGTCAAATAGTTTCAAGTATAATAAAAATAAATTAAGGCAACTATAGAAGGTTTTTACTACTCTATGTAGAATAAATGGCCCTCCTTAAAGGTCATATTTGGGTAAAGATCTAAAGGAAGGAAATAAGAGTTATACAAACCTCTGACAACAGTTTGTCTAATTATGATAAGAATAACAAGTACAAGACACTGATGCCAGTGCATATAATAGTCACCTCTTAGCCACACACATTTACAATAAAATAAAATTTTTTAAACTATAAGAAATAGATGAGAAGTGATAAAAATTTTGAATATTTTAAAAGTAGAGCTAACATTATTTAAGAGGTAGAAGAAAGAAAAGTAAAGAAATCTGCAACAACCAGGTGCTGGGGTTCACATCTATAATCCTAGCTACTTAGGAGGCGAAGATCTGAGGATTACAATTTGAAGCTAGGTCGGAAGGAAAGTCTTTGAGACTCTTTTCTCCAATTAACTACCAAAAAGTGGAGTTATGACTTAGGCAACAGAGTGCTAGTCTTGAGCAAGAAAAGTTCAGGATTAGCACCCAGGCCCTAAGTTCAAGCCCCAGGACTGGCTGGCACACACACATATAACCACAGAGAATATCTCCAAGATTTTTCTCTGAGTCACTAGAAGTAGATAGCTATTATATGAAATAGAGAGAAAGAAGGATGTAGATCCCAGAAATTTGTATTTGGCTATATTGTTTGAGATGCCTTAATCAAAATCCAAATAGATGGGGGGAAAAAAACAAATCTTCAATCACTAATTAATGCTTGAGACAGAGGTTTAAGAATAGTTCAAATATATGTTAGATTGTAAGAGTACAAAGGATCATCCAAAGAAGTGATTTTGGATAAATACCTGATATTTGAGTCTTGGAGAACTCAAATATTTACAACTTATTAGGATAAGAAAAAAAGTATTAAAAAATAAAAGCAGTAAATAATATAAAGAAGTAGCTAGACCGGTTGTGTATTAGGATAATTAATAGTGGAAAATAAGTTAATGAAATATTTCTAGAAGAAAGGAATAACCCAACTGCTTGTATCAGATACTGAAAATGTGTTTAAGAAGATAAAGACTCAATATAATTTTTTCCAAGTCTTCCCATTTCTAACAAATGGGGCAATGTCATTCTTTCTGATGGAGGCATAGAATTCCATTTTGTATATATACCACATTTTCTTGATCCATTCATCTACTGAGGGGCATCTGGGTTGGTTCCATATCTTATCTATGATAAATTGCAACAATGAGATATACAAGATGTTATGTCAGAAAATGAACTTTACAACCTTGGGGGGGAGGGTTGCGTGGGGGGCGGGGTGCGAGATGGGAAGGGATAGGAAGGGGAAACAAAAGAGGAGGCAACAATGCTTGATAAGAAATGTACTCATTACCTTGCCCATGTAATTGTAACCCCTCTGTATGGTATTTTCACAATAAAAAAAAAAAAGTAAAAAAAAAAGACAAAGACTCAGGGTCAACTGGTAGATTTACAATTTGAGATCACTAATGATCTTAACAAGAGCTGTTTTGTAAGAATGGTGACTATAAACATAATTACAAATGAAAAGACATAAATCACAAAATGTAACAGTAAGTCAAGGAAATTAAAATACCAAAAGTTAGTTTTAAGATAAGGAAAAGTGTATGTGTACGTGGTTCCAGGAAAGATCCAAAACAGGAGAGAGATACTCATGATGTAAATGAGAGATTCTAGTATGACATCACTGAGTCCTTGAGGCTTTAGTGGATAGAGTTTGTTTAGACTTAAGACACCAGTATAAAAAAAGATATTAGGAGTACATATTCAGATTCTTTGTATATATGTTACTGGAAGGAGCAAATAAGTATCTCTTCTAAGCTTCTGTTTTCTTAGTGGTATAGGAAGCCAATAGAAAATAGTCAAAGCTGAAGAGAAGAATAAAATACTTTAGGGACCAAGGATGGTTTAAGGGGGACAGGGGGAAAAAGATGACAACCAGGCAGTATTAAAGACCAAGTTAGTGGTCATAAACTTACAAAGGACCAGTGTTACCATAGGTCAGGACTTTTCTCTAGCCATGTTTAGTTTTCTCGATATAGGCATACAGTTGAGCGAACTATGTTGGAAATTTTGCAAAGATATACATTATTAAGATTTTTTGCTATTTGTACTTTATCTTGCTTTATTATCTTATTTTCTATGTACCATGCATTAATTGCACATTTCATGCATAATTACAATCCACTGACTTCAAATACTTTCTTTAACTTATGTCTTTTACAAAGTGAAATGTAGCCTACTTCCAAAAATGAGTGACAGGCAGTAGCCTGACTAATACTCATGTATACTCTTCAAATTATCACTTGAATCATAAAATCATTAGTATTGCACAAGAGCACAAAACCCACTTGAGACATACATCATAGGGGCATGGTGGCTCAAACTTGAAATCCTAGCTACTTGAGAGGCAGAGATCATGAGATCATGAGAGCTCTACCCCTCTTATGACAAGCAAGACAACAAAACATCCTAAGACTCCATCTCAACCAATTGTTGAGCACAGAGGCATGAGCCTGTCATTCCCAGTGACAGGAGTACAAATAGGTAAATCAAAACCCAAGCTGGGCCAAGCATAAAGCTAGACCCCCTACCTTAAAAATAATCTATGTTGAAAGGGCCTTAGGTGTGGCTCAAGTGTTAAAGTTCTGGCCTAACAAACATAAGTCCCTGTATTTA